AGTCTATTTTCAAATTCGACCAACTATCGCATCACCGCCTGTATGTCCTGTTCGATAACTGGCGGCTTTTAACGTCATCGGATAAACGAGGGTTGGTTGGTTGGTTCGTTGGCGCGCGATTTCACCCTACTCGTACCCCCTGTAAAACTTTTCTTTTTTCATACTACTATATATCGCGAAATAAAAGCCTAGTTAAAAACTCACTACTACTATGAGACTATTTCGAATCGAAGTAACGTACTTTCGATCGAACGTCATTTTTCTTCATTTTCTTAGTCTTCCTACACCTAACTAGCCACCCCCACCATCACCTCATAGTTTTTTCTTCTATTTCCATCATTAAATTCTTTGACAAATTTATTGTAGAGAACAGATCCATTGTCATATCAGTGAATACTCGAAAAAGATATCTTTATAGTTGAAACGACAAAATCATATTGCAACCATACCACCAACCAGTGCGATTATTCGATTATTATTCGCGAAACCGAATGGTTAACGTATACATATACTTACGTTTCGAACGATATCGATATCTTACAATCTATCTATCTATCTATTGATCGATCTATCGATCAATCCTGCCTTTCCGAGTATTCCGTTCAATTACCGTCGTGTAAAAGGCGCATCGGGGATAACACGATATATATAAGAAGAGTTCCACGTGAATCCTTCCAGTCCGAACTATTTCTCATATCTCCAAGTGCTATCGAAAAACTTATTCTTCAGTTCCCTCTACTCCATTAATCCTCGGATTCGTTTGAAAATCCGTTTCTATTTAGAGTATTAAAAAAAATCTAAGAAATAAATCGTACATTGTACTAAAGTGAAAGAGATGAACTGACGGAAGGAAGAGGAGGCGATATAAATCCTAAATACGTAATCGACGAAGGACGAATGGATTAAGTGAAAAAGGATAAAAAAAAGAGAAAAGAGAAAAGAGATGAGACGAGACGAGACGAGACGAGACGAGAAAAGAGAAAAGAAGTGGAAAGAAAGGGAAAGAAAAAGGGTAAAACACGTTTTAGCTAGACGACTTTCCTCCCGAGCTTCATCGAGCACGGATCGTTCGTGGACCGACGACGACGACGACGTCGCGACGCTCGACGAAAGGGGGAGGGGCATGAGGGGCATGAGGAGAAAAAGGAGGGAGGAAGGGGAAGCCGCCACGGCGACGACGACGTCGATCGACGACGCGTTTGCCAACTAAAACCAAAGCTCTTCCCTTTTTTCCCCTCACCTCTTCTCTCCTCACCTCACCTCACCACACCTCACCTCACCTCAGCTCAGCTCAGCTCAGCTCTCCTTTCTCCTCTTACCGGTACTCCTTCTTTTCCACCTTTCTCTCTCTTTGTTCGCAAAAACTCGCGACGATGTGATCTGCTAATCGTTTCGAAAATAAAAATTCAAGTGAAATGAAAAATTTTGCTAACGTTGACATTCGAAAATGAGGAAGTAAATATTAGAATGTTCTCTTTCCGTGTAAGGAGTAGAAGTAGGATGAGTAGGAGGAAGAGGAAGAATCTCGCACGTGCGAACTTGAAATAGTAAAGAAGAAATCGAACTATATGATTCAAGGATATATATCAATTATCGAAATAGTCTACGACGGTGTTTGCCTCAATTGGAAAAACGAACCATTTGGTCGATGAACAAGAGCGACAGCTGCACGTGTCACTCAACGAACACCATTGTTCTCGTTCCATGGTTTTCGAATTTTCCATGAGAATTTCGATTCTTTTCCTAGAAATATAAACCAAATATCGGACAATATATATATATATATATATATATACATATATGTATGAAAAAAAGCAATACAAGTATCGATGAGGGAATTTTTCTTCCATCGAAGTTGAGTGCCATTCCCCCGACTGACCCCACGTGATCGTATCGTCTGCTAAGTCCGCCATGACAATAAGAAATTTACCCGCTTCTTCACGCGCGCCACGTTTCTCTTATCGGCAAAAAAGAAAAAAAAAGTAATGTTTTTGATAATAATCTTTATATGCTACTTGATACAAAGTCTCTTAGTTTGCATTAGTGTGAAAACTTAATCCTTCTCTTTCTTTTTTATTTAACGAACTGGAACTGGAAAGGATGAATATTTTCTTTGAACTTTTTTTTTGTAACGGCACTCTCTCTCTCTCACTCTCTCTCACTCTCTCTCTCTCTCTCTCTCTCTCTCTCTCTCTTTCTCTCTCGTTCTTTCTTTCTNCTCTCTCTCTCTCTCTCTCTCTCTCTCTCTCTCTTTCTCTCTCGTTCTTTCTTTCTTTCTTTACATACATATATTTTTCTTAAGAGATTGAAAATCAAGAGAGAGAGACAGAGAGAGAAAAAGAAAGAAAGAAATAAAGAAAGAGAGTGAGAGAAAGAGAGAGAATAAGAAAGAGAAAGAAGCAAAGCAAAAAGAGCGTGACGCAGAAACGGTTCGTCGTTCTTAGGAAGCACGAAGAAGTCGCCCTCGTCGTTCGACGATCATCGTCCATTATCGTACTTTTACGTACCCGGCGAAAACGATGGGGAAAAAGAGAGAGAAAAAGAGAAAGAGCCAACGACGACGACGACGACGACGACAACGAGGACGATGACGACGATGACGACGGTGACGACGATGACGACGATGACGACGATGACGATGAAGATGATGAAGATGATGAAGATGAAAATAAAGAAGAGAGAAAGTCCAAGAAGTAGACTATCGCGTACAGTCGTCCTCGTCGTCGCACCACAAAATGCTCCGTTGTTGTTTATACCCTCCTCGCAATAATAATGTCGGAGGATAGGAGGAGGAGGAGGCGAAGCACGAAGTGCACCGACGACACCGCCAACGCCGCCACCACCACCACCGCTGTCGCGACAAATGAGAACGAGACACCGCTTGGCGATGCATGTACGCGCGTATGCACCGGACCACGGCCGCCACCACCACCACCACCACCACCGACGAAAACACGACGGCGATGACGATTATACACACGCGAGAATAACACACGCGCACGCACGAGCAACAGCCACTCGCGTTCGTCAAAAATCCGAGAAGAAAAAAAAAAATATACGAAGGAGACAGACAGTTGGTTGAGTTCTGAAAAAGCACGTAAATACAACGTACCTTCCCGGCTATCGCTCGACTAATACTGTCAGGTGTGCGTCGTCCTCCTCTCGACGAAGCGTGCACACACGACTCCATCCCCACTCTTTATTCAGCCGCCCCCACTCTCTCTCACGACGCGCACGCTATCTGCTTACCCCCACCACTGGTCTTACTACTCTACTACTACTACTGCTGTTGCCGCCGCTGCTGCTGCTGCTGTTGCCGCTGCTATACATGCCGCTATTGCGTTCCTCGTCTCGTCTGTGTCTCTTACCACTCTCTCACTCACTCAGTCATATTCTCTCTCTCTCTCTCTTTTTACGCACGTATATACACACCACCGAATGACCGTTTTTCTTTTTCTCACTCATTCTCTCTTCCTCTCTCTTACCCTTTACTTTACTTTACTTTACTTTACTTTACTTTACTTTACTCTACTCTGCTTTGCTCTGCTTCACTCTGCTTTACACTGCTCTGCTCTGCTCTTCCCCGTGAAGTACCCACTATCGTTGCGTAGTTGGAGGCACACACAGTTTACATAAGATGGGAGCGCCGTAAGAAGAAGGTATATTCGCCGCAACGCGTACGTATATGCAGTATGTTGTGTGTATATAGGTGTTTAAGCGCACACATCGGCTAGCAGACACCACCATCCTAAGTGCATGTACGTGCACGAGTGCAAGTAAGACGCGCCAGAGCAACGACGTAAAGGGCGGTGGTGTTTAACCACTGACACCCCATCCTTTCACGACACGACTACGATGAGATCTCTTATTTTCGCGAGGGTAGATTGATCTTCTCGATATTTTCCTTTTTCCATTCTCTCTTTTCTTCGTCGAGCTTTGAGAGAAACTTTCTCATTTAAAGGTAGTGCCAGGGAAACGAACACAGAGGAAACCGAGATAATTCCTTTGGAATCCTTTCAAATGTCTCTCCCAATGGAGATTATAATGAGCGACACTCGTATTCGAATTTGCGGCGGCATTTATAGAAAGTCAATTTTCAAATTCTGATTGTTAATTGTGATATAGAGTAGTCGGTGGTGAGAAAGTAGAACGTTTGATTTTGATATGCGATAGGAGAGTAAGTGAAACTATTGCGAGGTGCTGCTATTAAAGACCAGCACCGGTGCATTCATTATAATCCGATGATCTGATAATATAACGAATAGACGTTTGAATTTCGCCGCTAGTATAATAGTATATACTTTTGTTTGCTCGTGGCGACATACGATAGCGATGAATGTTCCTAACACGAGGTATCCAACTTTATAAATAAATAAATGTTACGCAACAACGTTCATCGTAGTCGGATCCCAAAATAATAAAAATCCTTCGAGAAAAGTTACGGTATCCAGTTGTATAGACGGTAGAATTGCTACTTTTCTCAGTTCTGTCCAATGTCGGGCCATATTTTTATTCGTATCACTTAAGAAAAAGATGATCCTTCTTTTCGTAAGCGTATTTTCATTTTATAACCTTATCTATTAACTTTCTTTTCGATTAACTAAATGATTCGTGAAATGTGCGTTAAAAACTTTGTCGTTTGATATGCGCGTTTGTACTTTGCCGGTAATTACAAAAAGTTCGAGCGGAGCTTAGCGTAAAGGTAACTGAATGTAAACTGGCGCAACTCCCACGAGTTCGTGACGACAGACAAAACTGTTTTAACGGTGTAATAGTTTTTGCATATATGAAATTGAATCTACATAATAACTACTACTCTAGAGGAGAATAAGAAACCTTCGAATAATTTTAGATAAGTGCACGCATTAATGTAATGCATGAGAACTTTGATCTTTGACATTGCGCTTAAATGTAATTACATATGTATATCGATCGCAATGTCTACTAACAATGTGAACAAAATAAAATAAAACGTATATAAATATGTGAATTTCACTCACCATGCTGATGGGGTGCAGAAAATGCCGAATGCCTCCGCGGTGACATATTTGGATGATTTCCTTGACTACCCGGTGGTTGCATGGACGATAATGCGCCCAACGGCGTGTAAGATTTACAAGGTTGCTCTGCCTTTTGCTGAGAAAGAAATATTTATTTTTATACAACATATATTTCTACATATTTTCACGCAAATTCGCCGTCCAGCGGCACTAAATATCGATAATCACCTGGTCATGAAGTTCGGTAGCAACTGCTGTAGCTGCAGTTTGCGTGTGACTGGTTGAACTGATTCTGTATTGCATACCAGCGATACTGCAGAAGCCTTCGTGATGCGTCGAACGTGTTTGATTAACGTAAACACCTAATACATACAATGATCATAATATCATGAAAATAAAAATACACTTTAGTATGATCAATGAATAAAAAAATTACCTGTGATGGTTACATCTGTATCTTGATTAACAATCACTACTTTTTTGGATGGTTTTAAAACATCATCTGGATCTGAGCCTTGTCTTCCTTTCTTTTTCTCTGGATCCGAATCATGTTGCTTACGTCTTTTAATAATTTCCACTTCTGATTCGCTAGAACAGTCACTACTACTACTACTATTACTAGATCCACAACGATTCTTTTCATCCGAATATGATGCAGCCAATATTGCTGACGCATTAAGACTAGCCATCCTTTTGCACACAACCATATCTTTTAAATCCATTACTTCTTCGTTTCTCTTTCTTCTCTTAATTACTTTCTTCTTAGAGCGTTCAACATTTTTTTCACGCTCATAATCTTCATCCGAAGAGGGAGAAGACGAAGAACTCTCCAGCATGTCCCAATGCTTTCCTCTTAATCCAGGTACATTCCTCAATTTTCTTTTTGGAGTTGGTAGCTCTTCTGGCTTCTTTTCAGCCTTTTTTTCTTTTTCTTTTTCTTTTTCCTTTTCCTTTTCCTTTTCTTTCTCTTTTTCTTTCTCTTTCTCTCTTTCTTTCTCTCTTTCTTTTTCTTTTTCCTTTTCTTTACGAGCTTGACTTTCATCCTTTTCTTCTTTCTTTTTCTGCTTTTCTTTCTCTGGCTTAGGCTTACAGAAGCCTCCAAGATACACTCCTCCAGTTTCATTTTCATACAAACAATGTACTTTAGCTAACGCATTCAATGATGCTACTCGGTGTCGCTTTGGTCCACTCCAAAATCCAAAAAGTCTCATCCGCCTAGCACGTTCATCGGATGGCGAATTGGATCTCTCCTTTTTCTTCGAATACCTTTGTTTACTTTTCTTATTATCCTCATCGAAGTCTTCCTCTGATTCAGATGCCGATGTCACACCACTTGTACTACCACCATTAACCGCTTCAACTTTTAAGTCTACTTGGATACCGCTTTCGATATTAATTTCTTCTTTTTTTGTACCAGTTACTGGTTTTAAACCATCTTCGCAGTCTTTAGATTGTTTACTGGATTCTTCCACAGGAGAATCCACAGGAGAAGAAGATCTTTGATTGTTGCTATCGGTTTGTACCTTTCCTTTAGAAATCTTCTTTCCAACCTTTTTACCAGTCTTCGTGTTACTTTTCATTGGCTTCTTTTCATCGGGTGACTTAGGTCTAGGACTTTCTTCTTTATTATTTTTTTCTAATTCTTTATCCTCTAAAACTTCATCTTTTATTTCTGGTGTGGGTGCTCTATCAGTTACTGCGCTGTGTGAAATTTTCTTAGATTCAGTTATTGTTTTTTCGATGACTTTCAACTCAATTTTTTTTTTCAAAATCATTTTCTCAGCCAGCGTTTTTAATTTATCTTCAGCCTTTATTACTGTACAAATTTTAGAATTTTTCTGCGGTAACTTAGCTTTCATAGGCTTAGCTAATTTTGGTTTCTTTTCTTGTGCACCTTTACTCTTTGCAGCACATGAAGTTTTCTTCTTCACTCTCTTAGCGTCATCCTCCTCCACAGTAATGGTTCCCTCTACCTTTAAAGATTTGACTAGTTTAATCTTTTTATCTATTGACTTGTTAACTACAGAAAAGTGAGGCTTTTTAGTTAAAACCGTTTTTCGTGGAATACTTTTTTTCTGCGAAGATTTGGTCTTCGAGGTCTTCTTCGCTCTTGTCGGAGAGTTTCTTCGACTGGCAGTATCTTTGTCAGAAACTTTTTTACGGTCACATTTCTTGTCCTTCGATGAAACATTCTTCAATGCTTCCTTCATATCTATTTTAGACAACTTAATATCCTTCTTCTTCTCTTCTTTGCTTCGCTTCTTTAAACTCAAACTTAGGACATCGGTCTTGTCTTCAAGCGCATCCTTATCATCTATGATATTTAAAGATTTTACTTCCTCTGCACTATCCTCATCCATTTTCCCACATTTCTTTCTATCATCTAATTTATCAATTTTCTTTTTATTATCCACAGATTGCTTTTCAATTTTATTTTTATCTTCCAACTTTTGTCCCTTCTTTTTATCCTGATTGTCACATGGTGACTCTTCGATATCATCTCTTACCTCATCTCTATCAATTTTCTCCTCTTCGATTATTTTATCAGTTTTCTTTTCATTATCCTTATTATTACACTTTTTCTCTACTCTCTCTGATTTGTCCTTTTTCTTATCGTCGACTTTTTTCTTTTCCTCGTACTTCTTTTTCTCATCCATTTTATCTGATTTTTTCTTATCGGTGTCTTGCTTTCTCTTTGGATCTTCTAATTTATCTTGTTTCTTAGATTTTTTCTCCTTCCTTACTTCAGATATGGTCTTTTCCAAAAGAGTGCGACGTTTTTTAGCAACCGTTGGCATTTTAGTTGCCTTCCGGGCAACAATAGCCTTCTTTTGTGGCTTCATCATGTACGTTCTCTTCACATTTTCAATTTGATAAATATACGCTTGAAGTTCTTGAATATCCTCAATGAATTTTTTCGACTACCTAACTGCCATTGTAGATAATAATAGTGATAGTCCAAATTAATACTGGATCTATCTGTAAAAGAAAAAGAAAAAGGAAAAAAAAAGAAACTCAAATTTTTCAAAAAAAAAAAAAAAAATCATAATTACGTGCATCACATAATTATTTAAATGTTAAATAAAAATATTTGTAAGAAAGGGAGAGATCATAGATATAATATAGATATTAGAAAAATGAAATGAAACATTGCAGTCAATCGAGACATGGAGTCAATGATTTTCATATTAAAATAAACACTTTTTTGTTCTTAAAAGAAGCGCGAAAAGTAACACAAGAGAATAAATGTCGAACGAAATATATTGACTCGCGAACGAGTGAACGTTTCGATCACAAAGAGAAAGAGAAAGACAGAGAGATAGATAGAGACGAAAAAAACAAAAAAAAAAAGAAAGTGATCCAGACCGTGAACTGCGCGCACTCTCATCGACTTGTTGACAAATCGATCCCTTTAAATCTTCACTGCTCCCGTCATTCAGCACGCGTTAAACGCGTTCGAACGACGGAGGAGGTACGTACCATAGTCACGTCCGCCACCAAAAGACTAAATTTACGATAGACCTTCTCGTGTCAAACTTAATAAATTGAAATTTATGAGATAGAAGGACAAGAAAAAGGGAAAGAGAAAATCTGTGAAAGATAATAGGAGGGGAAGGTAAAGAAGAATTCGCGACTGAAAATGGGCCACCCTTTAGAAAAGCGTCCGTAGATGGCCACAAGTGGCAGACGTGAACCCAACCTGCTGCTGATCGATGAGCTTCTCGCGCAGGAAATCTCCTTTTGAAATCTCACTGATATTTCATACACAATAACTAATACGTTCACTCGATATTTTTTTTTTCTAAGAGAATGAAATCTAATAATATGGAAGGATGAATGAAAGTAAGGAAGGAAGGAAGGAAGGAAAGAAGGCAGGACGGAAGGAAGGAAGGAAGGAAGGAAGAAAGAAGGACGGAAAGAAAGAAGAAAGTAAGAAAAGATGAAAAGAAGGAAGAAGCATTTACATCGATTAGCAATGCAATAGACCACGAGAAGATAGGGCGAGTCGAAGAAATCCAACTCAAGTGTTTACCTCTCTGGCGAGCCCTTCTCACTTTCTCGTGTGTGTTGCTTACAATCGGCCCGCGAACGCTTTTTTTTTAAAACGATCCAACTCGCTACGGTTAAGGTCTCCTCGATCGGACAAACCTATCAATACCGCACAATCTTCCGTTTACTATTCCGAATCTTCCTGTACGATCTTTCTCGCGAGATTCACTGCGATGCGCACATCTTTTCTTCCCGAAACGCGTACCTCGCACGACGTCCCTGCCCTTTTACTGTAGCCTTGTCGGCCATTTTCTTCCTCGCGCCGCTCTCCCACTCCTCCCATCTCAATTGCCCTCTCTCGGCCGATTTTACAACTACGACTTTTATTACTTATCGATATTTGTCGATAAATACTACGAGATCGAATATTAGCCCTCATCAGCTGTATTTTGTTAATTTAAGCGCGCGAAACTATAAAATATATGAAATTATTTCTTTTCTCTTTTTTTTTACAGGTACAAACAAATTTTATCATATGATCAAGAAATTAAATATATACATAAATAACACATATAGATATATACATCTCTTTGAAAAATAATTTTTCTTATTAACACGATATATATCTTTCTTTTATTAAATCATATAAAGTGTATAAACGATGAAAAGGTATGAATAGTAACATTTAAGGAATGTATAGATACTTCTGTATCACACCGTTGTTCTAGGATTAAGGAGTATCGCTTCTACAACTTCACCTGGACGCATTGCTGACTTAGTGAGCGTTTTTCCTGGTAACATTAACAATGCGTTAGCATTTTTACAACTGAACAATTTACTACTTATTTGATTTCCAGTACTGCAAGCCAGTGGAAGATCTGTCCCGTTTTTCCATGTTAAAATTGCTCTTGCATATTCCGGACGGGGATCCAATTTATAAGACGAATCCAACTACAATTAACGTAATCGATTATAAATAATATTATATGTTCTAAAATAATTACCTAAATATTTATATAAACTGATGAACGAACTTTTGCCTTTACGATGATAGGTTTCGAAAGATCACCATGCATTTCATTAAGTAAAGGTATAACAAATAAAATCGATGTCACTGTTGCCGAAACTGGATTACCCGGAAGACACATAAAATATTTTTTTTTACCATTATAAATGCAAGTTGCAAAAGTCGTTGGTTTACCAGGTTTCATATTTACGCGGCCTATAATAATATACTAATATAATATTTAATTCACTTTTTATAGATATATTAATCTTGTAAATAGTAATTACCAAAATGTATTTTTGCATTAAAATAGTGTTCTAGTACAGGTTTCAACATATCTCGATCACCCATCGACACTGAACCAGATGTTACCAGTACATCGACTTTTTCTAAAGCATTTTTAATTGCAGCAACCATACTAGATTCGCTATGAAAAATAAAAATGAGTAGTTTCGAAATTAATAATATTATATTACGTATAATTAACTTCATTTTCCATAAGCTTACTCGTCCTTTACAGTTCCCAAATTCTTTGGATCATATCCATTTTCTCGTAGCAAGGATATTAAAGTTATTGTATTACTGTCATATACATGTCCTGGTTTTAAATCATTTCCTGGTTCTTCCAATTCATCACCTGTTGACAGTACACCTACACTGGGAACTTTATAAACCTTTACTTCTTTATAACCACATGCAGCTAAAAGTCCTACTTCTGCTGCTCCAAGTTTCACTGGTGCTTCCATTATAAGTTCTCCTTTTTGTAAATCACAACCGATAGATCTTTTACGAAAAAAAAAAAAAATAATAATAAAATTGTTGATAGATATAATTAAAATCATAAAAAACGTATTTTAAAAATGAAATACCTAATATCCTGTCCCTTCGTTGGTACAGTTAAAATTTCAATTTCTTTCTCTTCCGTATTATCAGAATTTTTTAATATAAGCTTTGTGTCTTCTACTTGAACAACAGCAGTTGCATCTACAGCATGTAATCGTTAGAAAATGTATATTCTTCTTTTAATTAATTTTTTGTAATGAACACTTACCATCTGGTATTGGTGCACCAGTATTTATTCTGACACAAGTACCGGGTTCCAAGGATACAGACATTGCCTATGTGTTTTTAAAAAAAATATTCAAGATTTACTGATATAAAATATGTAATTTTTGAAAATTTACATACTGTATTTCCTGCTTTCAAAGCACCTAACACTCGTCTTCTACCTTTTCCATCTTCTGCCAAAACTGCATAACCATCTTTAATAGAAGCTCGAAATGGTGGTAAATCACAAAGAGAAAATACATTTTCGGCTAAGATTCTACCATGAGCATTCCAAATTGATACAGTTTCAGTTTCCTGGGGTTCTATATTAGTCTTTATTAATTCTAATGCTTTATCAACAGAAAGCATGGGATATGGTGACTCTCTGAGACGCATGGCAACATTCTCCAAGTTTAACTACAACAAAATATTTATAATTAAGAAACAAGAAAATAACTTGTTAATAATATAAACTTTGTACCGGTGTAGTAGCAGGTGAATTATGACTATAATTTGTATTTTTTGACTTGGTAAGACCATTTGATGCATGGACTTTTTCTATATTTTCTTGTTTATTTGAAATTAAATCAACCGCATGTGGTATTGCAGATGCAATAGGAACTAAACATTCTTTCAAAGCTTTTGGTGATCCTGGTAGATTAATGATTAATGTTTCTCCACGAATTCCACATACAGCTCTAAAAATATTAATACAAGAAACATAAAAAATAATTACAAACAAGACTTTAAGAGGATAATTTTAGTGTGATAAGACATAAAACAATTATTATTACAAAAACCTACATTGCATTATTTGCATTCATATAAATAAACGCATATATGGGTCTATATTGCTCAAAGGATGATTGGCAATCTTATATTACCTAGAAAGTACAGCCATAGGAGTCACTTGTAAGCTTGATAAAAGCATAGCAGTTGCTATTCCTGGAGCTTCTTTGTTGATAACTTTTTTTGTTGCTTCAGGTGTAACATCTGTATTAGAAAAGCCTGTACCACCAGATGTCAAAATAACATTTAACTTCTGTTCGTCGCTCCATTTTATCAAATATTCCTTAGAATTAATAATTATAGATTAAAAGTGTACATCAAAATAATATATTTTACAATCTTATTATTATTTTTATTATTATTATATAATTTATTACCATAATAATTTCTTCTTTATCTGGTATTATTTTTTCTTCAATAACTTTCCCTTTAAGTATTTTTCCTGTATCGGTGTTTATATCACTAACCAGACGTTTTAATTGAGGACCTGCTTCATCCTTTCGAGAATCTTTTGAACGAGTATCGCTAACTAAACAAACAATTTCATAAATATATAATATACATTTTATTAATGAAATTAAATGTTATTATTTTTGTAAACAATATGATAACTTACTAATTAAGATTCCAAACGTAATTTCGGCCATTATTATCTTTTCTATCAACTAACAAAAGCTGTTTCTTCTACTGTTATAATATATTTCAACTGCAAAACAAGACTAACAGGTAACCCAAAAATCTTTGATAACATCAAAGCCACTTATTTGTTCGAAATGATAACGTATGTTTTTGATTAAATTGATCATTAGGCACTCTTAGAATACTCATTTATATAATCACGTATATCAGACGTAATCATATCTTTGAAGTTTTAGGTCACGTAAGACAGACTTTAAAAATTCAATCATAAACGAGTTATAAGGTTATGATGGAAAATTTCATTTTCGTACGTTTATCAAGAGAGATACAATTTTTTTATTTCTACATCGCATGCGACTTTATCGACGGATCTTAAAATAGATTACAGCGCTAATTTGAGTGAACTAATAAGATATCTAATTATTTTAACATCAATAATCACGATAAATCGAACATTCGTATTTTTCAAGAACCAAAATTTAGGATACTAGCTTATATCTCTCATAATTTGATGAAAAATACAAATATTTCATTATCTACATATGTATGAATTCAATAGATCACATGATTGTTTTATAAACGATTCTATTTATTTAATAAGTTTTAAAATAGAGCAGATAAGACAATATCAACTTATAGAGCAGATCCCGATAAATTTATATATATATATATAATAGCTTACACAATAATACATTGTTCAAATAACATTTTTTGTTTTGTTTTTTGTTATTATGAAATCCAAACTTGAAGCAGCACACTTCTAAGAAGGAATGCAATTGTAAACAGGAAGTTTCTTATTAAATTATATAAAATCATTGTGTATAACAAATTAGGCATATTCTTAATTCTTGCATTAGTAGTCTACCAAGCCTCTGTAAAAAGAAATATAGTAAATCGATTTGAAAATAATTTTATTAGTTAATTATGAAAAATAAAATATTTATTAAATCTGAGACGTTACCGACTACTTCTTGGACTTAAAGAACGAAGAGGAGAATCTCTGTATCTCCTTCGGGATTCTTGCCTGCATCTTTCCCTCTCATCACGCCTATCTCTTTCTCTATCCCTTTCCCTCTCTCTTTCTCTTTCCCTCTCTCTATCTCTGTCTCTATCTCTATCTCTATCTCTTTCCCTTTCTCTATCTATTTCTATATCCCTATCCCTTTCTCTCCTATCTCGACGTATATGATGTCTTGGACTACGACCTGGACTCGGCGTACGAGAAATGGAAGATCGTGAATCAGAACTGTGACCTTCGTATCGATGTCTTCGTTCTCTTTGTCTAGAAACAATATAAATACATATTTTTATATATATTTGCAGTTGTATTTATTTATTTATTTATTTATTATTATTACTTACTTTCGACGTAATTTTAATGACATCTCTCTAATTTCGTCTTCTCGGTCTTGTCTTTGTTGTTCCTTCTTTTCTATTCTTAACTGTTCTGCCTTCTTGTCCGCTTTATCTGTATTACCAAAAAATATTGATCATTAAAATTGAGCGAAGGATATTTTGATTAAACTCTGATTAATTTTTTACTCACATTGCCTATTCAATAGTGCCTGCATCTTTTTCTTAAGCCGCTCTTGGGGTGTTATTTTCAGAGACTGAAAAAAAAAACTCTTAATGGCCTGTACTTTTGAGCTACTTCTTTTGTTTTTTATTTTATTTTATTTTTCTCCTTTTTTATGTAAGTGTAGTTTTTTTTATTTAAGATAATTCTACTTCAAATATTAGTCTACTATCAATAGAACACAATTGAACTGCGCTGCAAAGAATTTGAAAATAATTCATTTGCGATCATTTAAGTCTCCTGATAAAGAATATAAATGTATATTCGATACGATATATATGTATATTCTAAATAGTTAAAACTTTGATATGAATAATTCAAATTCTTTGCAGTTTAAAGTAAATTGAAATCGTTAGCAAATTTGTAAAAAT